TGGGAGCTGGCGGGAACCTCCCCGCCTCCCATGCCCTGTCCCCCCCACGGGAGCTCGGGGTCTGTCTGCCAGCCTCAGAAGGGCACTCAAACTTCGCAGACCGCCACAAAGAAGTGGCTAGGCCTGAAAATTGCTCGTAAAGAAAAAAAAATAAACTGTCGAATTTCTCTAAGGAAAGTAACACCACAAGCCTAAAACAGACCCCCCAATGCCCATAGAATGGAGAGAGCCCTCCCTCCCTCCGGTCCTGCAGCCCCCAGACCGGGAATGAGTATTTATTCTAAGGTATGTCGCTTTTAAGAAGATGTAATCAGCATCTCGAGCGGGGCCTCCCTTTGTGAGGCTTCTGTAACTATGAAGTGTGATTTACGCAGATTTGTCGGGGTCAGAGGCATCTTTCCTCTGAGCACTGTGTATATTTAGACAGGACTCAGTTTGGTGTTTAAAAGTGTATATTTTGAATGAGTTCACACACAGTAGCCAACAATGCCCACATTGTCGGCCCGTGTACAACGCGTATTGAAACGCAGCGTCCAGACTTCAACTAATCTGCCCTCAATAAAGCTGACATAATTATCCTAAGCTGCCTTTCCAGAAGAAAAATCATTGAGGAATTCAAAACTTTTTTTTTTTTAAAGATCTTTTCTACATTCCGATGCAGATCTGGGAGCGAGGTGCCGAGTCCACAGCACTTGGGAGACCTCAATGAGGGAAGAGAGGGGGAGAGAGAATTTAAATGGGAAAACTAACGTGACTGGGGCTGTGAGTGTCCCAGCCCTGACACCCCCGCCCCATCTCTGGCCCTCCCGAGGCCCGGACTCCCAGAGCGCCAGGCCTCCCGGCTGGAGAAGTGAACGCTGCGCTGGAGGCCGCGCCGTGGCAGGGAGGCTCCGGACTGCGCGAGGGGGCCCCACACTGGCCCACTGGGCCCGAGGCAGCCAAGGGTCGACAGTTTTAAACCTGAGGACTGAGGCAGGCAGATATTCGCCTAAAGGGAAGCTTGGCCAAGCCCCACTTGGGGTGATCTCCATGTATCTTTGTCCAGGGCGTGGGTCGTTTTCCGCTCAGCTGCGAGGCTCTGGGCGGGCGCTCCCTGCGGGCCCAGAAGGAGCCCTAAGGTTGGGACACAAAAACAGACACTTCATCTTCCTTTCCGTCCCCTTTCTCTAGGAGGGGAAGGATTATAGGCTGAGGGGTGGGAGGGGGAAGGGGCAGGAGGAGGAAGCGGGGGAGGAAGGAATGAAAAAGGGAGGGGAGTGGGTATTGTGCCGCGTGTGGGGGAGAATTCCTACGGGTGGGCTTCCGAATATTGTGTTCAACTTTTTCAAAGCAGCTCGTGACCCCGAAACTGCAACCCCTGGAGCCGAGGACCCAGGCGCCGGGCGGGCGGGGGAATCCAGCCAGTACCCTCCCCGCTCCCCGAAACCCCCGCCTCCGCGTGGGGGCGATCCGGCCTCTCCCCGCCGAAGAGCTGTCGGCTCCGGAGGGAGGCTGAGCAGGTGCCGCGGGCTCCGCCGAGAGCGCTGAGATCGGACACCTTCGCCACTCCAGGAGAACTGAGGCAAGTGGGGCTGATCCTCAGCTGGGCGACACCCCTGCCTCAGCCTGGGCCGGGGCGCCCGCCGACCCGCCGCACCCCGGCGTCTCCGGTAGCGGCCGCGGCTCGGGAGTGCAAAGCCAGACGGAGCGAGGCGGCCCGGCGCGCAGCTTTGTGATCCGGGACGGGGCCGGGCGCGGCGGGGCGGACGGGTGGCACGAACTGTCAGAGCCGCTCCGCCGAGAGCAGCTCCGCGCCGCCCGCGGAGCGCACCCGGCAGTCCCGCGGCCGCCCGCGCCTCTCTGCTCCGGCCCAGAGCACCGCGGCCGCCCGCAGCCCGTAAATTGCAAGTCCCAAGATCTGGGGAGGAAGGCGGGTCGGTCGGTCCTCGGCGCCGGAGGCCGGACTGGCTCCAGGCGGATCTGGGGGCGCAGGCACCACAGGGTCTCGGTCCAGGAGTGCCGACCCGTGTGCGGGGACGCCGGGCGGGGGACGCTGCGGAGCACCGGAGTTTCCCCTCCCAAATTCCCAGGCTCTGCGTGTTGGGGCAGGGGTTAGAAGCAGAAGGACCTCGGCTTCCGGGGCCCAGGCCACCTTACCGGCAGCTCGGGTGCCCCGAGGAGCTGGGCTGCGAGAGGGCCGGGGGATAATCCTGGAGGGGGTAACGAGTAGGGGTAACCAGTTGCACTCCGGATGTCTCAAAGCGGGGAAATCGGAAAGGATAGGTCAGCCTGCGCGGCCTCTGGGTCGCCCACGCCGCCTGGCCGCTCAGACCCCGAGGTCTGGGACTTAGCGCCTGTACAGGCCGAGGTCACGAAACTGTCATTCTCATCCTCGCTCAGTTCTGGCCCAGGCGACAGGAAGGACAGCGCACAGGTGGTTCGAGGAGAAAGGACTTTTGGGCTCAAGAGCGTCTTCCTTTACCAGGACCTACTGGACCCTTACTTACAAATTGTCAGCCCCAATCTCAGCGTTCACCCCGCCCACGGGAGAGGGGCTTGAGACTCCCACTCCCTCCTGGGTTCGGGTCAGCAGGAAAGCCGAGCGGTCTGCACGCCTCTGAGAGCAGAGGATCCGAGGTCTGGGGCGGCTGCACCCACCCGGGCTCGCTCGGCTCGTTCAGGCCAGTTCATCGTGAGGGGCAACGCCCCTTCCGGCCCCCTGGACAACAGGAGGCGGGAGCTGGCCCAGGGTCCTGAGGTCTGGGCCTCCCGGCACGCAAGCTGCAAACCGAGGCGTTAGGCGCTGGCGGTGGAAGAGGGCGCGGAGGAGCGCGGCTCTCCGGCGGGGAGGCCGCGCAGCCCTTCAAGGACCCCGATTACTTTCCTTTGATTGAAAAACAACAACAACAACAACAACTGCTCCCTCCCTGCACCCCCGCCCCCTGCCTTAGCCTCCCGGGACCGGCGCTCGGAGCAATTGTGGCCCGGGACAGTAAACACAGCTCAGTTGCCTCAACTTTCTCCGCACATAAAAGTTCCCGGCGTGCGGTGAAATTTGAATATTTGATCAGCCCTTTTGAGTGACCCTCATTAGCCTGGCGCCCTGCTAAGGCCCCGCCACTGCAAGAAAGCTGCTGGGCCGGCATTTGTATGCCTTGTTAGCGCCGCTTAATGAAGCCGCCCCGACGGCTCAAAGGCGGCCTCCAGGGCTGGCGGCGCGCACCTCTCGGCACCCCGCTCTGCCTAATGAGCCCCACCACCCGCCGAAGGCCCCTCCGCCTCCCACATTCTCAAACGGGAGGAGTTTGGCTCCGTCTTGGGCCACTGCACTTCCCACTGCCAGGCCCAGGAGAGAGGGCACAAACGCGGCCCAGCCCCAAGAAGGACGTGGGAGACATGGAGGACGGGGGCCTTACAGGTCAGGGGGTTGGATTTTTGCAGTCTCAGGTTGTAGCCCAGGCAGTACACAGCCAACCTGTCCCCAAATGGCCAGTTTCTAACCAATTAGTCACCTCAGGTCCTTAAAGATGCATCTGGCCTAATATTCGCGTGGCAGAGGGCAGCTTCCCCCCCCCCCCCCCGGGCAGTGACAGCTTTCCATCCTCCCCACTCCCCAAGTTCCTTTGGTCTCCACTGCCCAAGAGGCCACATACTTCTTCGCAGGGATCCCCTTATGACAGCCAGAATCAGAGTGCTAGGGCCTGGCTTTGAGAAGGGATGTGCACTCTCACAGCCTCAAACCCTCACTGCCCTCACTGCCCTCACCACCCACGGGCCCAGTCGAATGTGATGCCAGTGGCCGTGGGGAAGGGAAGGCACCCTGCCCACCCCACGACAGAGCCATGCTCTCTCAAAGCTCTCGTTAATCATGCTTCCAGTTGATAGAAAGCCTGGAGGAAATGCTTGGGGGCGGCTGCCCCATGCAGGACCTGGCCTGCACGCTGGCTGCCTGTGTGAGACTGGGACTAAAGAAAAGGCCCGAGGGAAAGGAAGAGCTGCATCGCTCTGGAAGGAAGGGGGACCAGAGCTACCAACTATTTCCCCTTTAATCATCGGAGCAGGTGACTGGTTGGCCAGGAAATATAAAGAACCCTGTTAGAGTTGTGCCACGGTCCTCTGAAACAGACTTCCTTTAATCTCTGCCCCCTCTGTCCTCGATGCCCTTTTCCCTGGGCAGCTGGCACTCAGGGTCCCTCCTTGCTCACCCAGCTCTTTGGCTTTTAAGAGTTACTTTGGGCTGGGGGATTAATGCACTGGGCTTAGGAAGCAGGCTACTCTCATAGCCACACTCTGGGCCTTCTAGAAGTCCCCCCCCCCAATGCCCACAATGCCTCAGACATACAGCAGGCTGCCCAGGTGAACCTTGGGACACCATTGCAGGACAGCCCCCTCTAGACCTGAGTGTCACCCAGGCAGCCCTCACTCTGCCAAAAGGCCTGGTAGGCCCCTGGAATAGGAGAGTCTTCTGTGTCCATGTGGTCTAGGGAGACCTCTTCTCTCTCTTTCCCAGCTCAACTGGCATGCCTCACCCCACTTACCATCCCAGAGACACCCTCATTCAAGCCTAAACTGCTGATCTGTAAGGGCTCATCTGTGTGCTGGGCAAGGCGACGTTGGGGCCTTGATTCACGGAAGGGCAAAGGTAGGACCCGGGAAGTGTGGGGTGTAGCTGTAGGAGAGAAAGGGGACTTGAGGCAAAGGGTGAAACTCAGCTCTGCGGCCCCAAGGCCAGGCCTACCAACTGCTCAGGGGAGGAGGCAAGGGGAGGGGGCTAGGAGTCCGCGGGCAACGGTCGGGGCGTCGGCGTGGGGGGCTAGATCCGAGGAGAAGAGTGGGAGGCGGGGGTCGGGGGAGAGCGCAGGGCGGGGGGTAGGGGGTGCGGCTCTTTAAGAACCACACTGCTGGCAGGAGAAGCTCATGGCCTGGTGCTGGTAGCGCAATGACCCGAAGGGGATTTAGAGGGAAGGGAGCGGCCCGGCACCCGGGGCTCTGTCCGGGGCGACCAGAGAGGGCGAGGCACAAGAATGAGGAGCGACTGCGTCTTGAAAGGCCGCACAGAGGCGGCGGCGCTGCTGCTTTTGACTTCTGAACAGGGCTTAGAAAGCCTGCCCGGGTTAAGCAGAACTGCCTGTGCCCCTGGGCCCTGAGCGCCAACTCCGCGGGCTCACAGTCCCGGGTCTCGGTGCTGGGAAGGCGCGGGATGAGCGGGACACTGGGTTGGCCAGGAACCTGACAAAGTTGCTTTTGGCTCTGCAGCCGCCTGACCCTAGCGCAGAGCTGCGAGCTTGACCGGCCACGCCGGGCAAGGCCAGAGAAAGAATTTCCCTTTTCCAACTTCGTCTTTTTTTGGTTTTGTGTGCCCACTTCGCACAGCTCTGGAGCCTACCGATCCCAAATGGAGTCTCAACAGGTGCCCGGTAAGTCCATTTAAGAATTCGTCAGCCCCTCCCCGGCCTCTTTCCCTTTCCCCTCCCAGTACCCCCGGCCGCCCCGAATTCCCTGTGCTCCTCCCGCGGGCGAAGGCGGGAGGAAGAAGTTTTGGGGCGTGTGAGTGGCGCCCTCACCCTGGGTGTCTTCAGGCTCCCAGTTTTAGCCCAGGACCGCTGGCTCGCGACCCCCGCAAAGCTTCACCCAGTACACCCGGGTCCCTATCACTCTTAACTCTGTGGTGGGCCCTGTACCCCAAGTTGTGAGCAGGAAGGCGGAGGAACGTGGCCAACAGGAAGGGGGCGGCGGGCACCTTGACCCGGCGGCCTTTGTGGGGGTTTATAACCCAATATACGCCCTCTTTTATGAGAGACCCTCCCGGGGACCCGCACTCGCTTTACGGTAGCCCACGGGAGAGCGCCCCAGCAGCTGGGGTAGGAGTAGGGTGGGGGAGGTGGAGGCGCAAGAGGCGGGGGAGCAGAGAAAGGCAAAGGCAAGAAATCCGGGGCATCCGAGTGTAAAGTCGTAAAATGTCCTCGGAGCGCGCGGAAAACAGGCGTGCGTGCTCGCGGGCGCACACCTCTTTGTCACACACACACTCTTATACACGCACTCACACCCACCCCACAGGAGTAGCCCAAGCACGCGGTCCGCAGCAGTGCGGAGTCGCGAGCTACCGCGCCCAAGCCGAACCGAGTGGAGCCGCTCTCCTGCGCCCCGCTCCCGGGCTTCCAGGAACCCTTCCGCCCCGCCATCGTGCCTGGAGAATGACGGGGCGGGGGGGGGGGACATGCGGACCCCCAGGGCTGGGGCGCGGGGAAGATCTTACCTGCGGCAAGGTAAGGGAAGCCAGGAGCAGGAAGCAGAGGCGGATAAATATTCATTAGGAAGTGTGTCTCCTTTTAAACCGCGCCGGCGTGCGTTTTTCCTCCTATCTCTCTTTCCTTCCTCCCACCCTCTGTCCTCGTGCGAGGCTCTCCCCCGTCTCGCTCAGCCTGCCTCCCCCCGCACACACTCCTCCCCACCTTCCTGCGAAATGCCGGGTGGGTCCCCGTCTAGCTAACCTGTTGGGAAGCCTGAGCGGCGGACAGAGCCGCCACAGCTGTTTGTCTCCGCTCTTGGGGCACGAGTTCCCCAGCGGCCCTCCCTCCGGTCGCCCAGCCCCTTACCCCCTCCTAAATTACTACATCATTAGCTTTATTTTCCTGTGTGTGTGTGTGGGGGGGGGGGCTGTGGGGATGGTAACGCACAGCTCTACCTACCTCTCCAAAGCCAAAAGCTGTGGATATCGGAGGCTGCCCCAAGTCCATCCCCACCCGTGTTCCAACCCCACATCCCCACCCAGTCTGGTTTTTTTTTCCCATTTTTACATCTCCACCCCCATCCTGCACCAACCCAACTCCACCATCCTCCCCTCTCCCGCCACCACCAGTCTGGATCCCCCGGTGGGTCAGCAGTGAGATGCCAGGGCTGTAGGTAGGTACCACGCACTGAGGCTGGGACTTCACCCTGAAATGGGTGTGAGGTAGCTTTTCGAGTCCTCCTTTGCCACGTCGGTTTTCTAGCTTGAGCCCGAGTGGGCACCTGGGCAGCTTGGGCTTAGGATCAGAACACAAGGGTGCCCATCAAGGGCCTCCTCTGCCAGGCCCCAGGGTCCCTGGGCTTTGGGCCTTTGGTGAGCCTGGAAGGCTGCATGTTGTGTGGGGGAGAGGTGGCCTCACTCTGTGGGAATGAAGGACTTTTACGAAAACACTGACCCGAAGTTGGCCCCAAGTCCGCATCTTTCTCTCTCATGCTCTTGAGGAAACACATCTACAGGACTCCAGGAACTCACAAGGCCGCTCCAAGAAGCGTTTCCAGCCACTGGCGAGCCTGTGCACACGCTCACGCCCACTCTAGCACGTTAGAGGCCTGTGCTCCCACTGACCTCAGAGAAGGCGGAAAGGTGGCTCTCGGTGGAGAGACACACCGTAAAACTCGGGACAACCCTGACCACCATTCTTGGTACCTCCCCCCCCCCCCAGGTCCCAAGGCCACGCCAAGGGCTGTAAGGGATGATGTAGCCCCAGGGTGCTTGGGGGTGGCCCAGCATCTCTCTGAGCTCCATGCACCCAGGTGGGGGCAGGAGGAGAGGCCGAGGGGGCGGGCCCAGGCCTGTTCCCAGTTCCCAGTTACGCTGCTGCTCAGGGAAATCCGAGGAGGAGAGTTTCGTCCCCACGCACTCACTCCCCTCCCACAGAGGCGCCCTGACTTCTTCAGTAGGGCCCTATCCCTTCCCCAGGCTATCGGGGCTCAAGCGGCCATTTGGTGGCCAGGGATGCATTCTTCAGCCTCAAGGTGATGTCTCAACTTCTCCCTCTATTTGGCCTGGACTGTTTGGTCCCAAATCCACCAGGAGAGGTCCCAGAGGCTGTTTTGACTCCTTGCGGATGTGAGTGAGGCACAGGCTCATCTCAGGGTCTCCCTCCTCCTGCAAGGTTAAGAAGTTGGGCAGTTGTAGGTGTAACAGGCCTGTAGGGCCCTGGGGGCGGGAAGCCCTGTTAACCTCGCACCTCACCTAAAGCCCATCTTGCACATCTCCCCTCCTGCCTGCAGACCAGGAGGTCGCACGCGTCTGAGCTCAGGCTTAAGCTGTCCCTTGACTGCACACGGAATGTCCATGCAGTTTACATGAACACAGATGAGAGGATTAGAATGCTAACAGCAGAATCAGAGGAGAAAAGAAGTGTCCACAGACAGAATCATTAGAATGCACGGATGCACGCCCAGTTGTCCAGATGCAGACAAAAGCCGCAGCGGCCCCCAGGAGTGACCCCAGCCACAGGGGCAGATGTACAGGAAGCCACACACAAGGAGAGTGGGCTGAGGAGGATGCAGGCCGCCAGGCCAAGGGCTTCCTGCGAGAGGGATGCTGGCTCCTCAGGGGGAAACTTTGTTGAACCGACTGAGGGAAAGATCTCGGGTCAAATCCTGGAGACTAGAAAGAGCACCTCATCCACCCGGAAGGTGACCCTTTCACCTTCCTCTCAGCTGGGCTGGAGACGCCCAGGAGAAGGCAATCCAGGAAAGATCCATTTTGACCTGGATTATTTGTTATTACTAGGAGGCTGCGCTCTGAAAGAGAATGAATGGGGTGGAGAGCAGATGCTGTGAGATTCCTAAATCCTGATGGGGATGTTCAGCTCCAACGGTTCAGGAAGGGGGAGGACCCCATTCTCTGCCCTTTCACTCCTCTTAACCTAAATTTAGTCATCAGAAAGAACCTTAGCTCTCAGCTCCACACCCTCTTGCCCTTACTTCCATTCCAATCCCCTTTATAGCAAATAATCTGCAAAAGAACAGTCTGAAGCAAACTGAATTGTTTGTTTTATTAAACTGTTGTGTGTGTGTGTGTGAGAGAGAGACAGGTATTGAGAAGTTCTCAGCCCCTGCTCTCCCACCCCAGGCAGAGCTCCCTGTCCCCACCAAGCTGGGGAGTAGCTATTTCCAAAGGCCCGAGGAAGTGCACATGCTCAGTTGTAGTTTCAGTGTGTGGTTTTCAGTCTGCCTGCCCAGTCTCCGCGAGCCTCCCAGACAGCGGCCACTGTGGTTTTCCAGCAGAAGATGCAGGCACACTGGACGCAGTGGAGCCCTCCCTGCCACTTCACCTCCCTCCCCAACTCTCTCTCTCTCTGAAAGGAGAGGGTAAGTTTAGAAAGTCTTTTAGAGAAAAAGAGTGTGGGGGGGGCGGGGGGAGAGAGAGAGAGAGAGGAAAAGGAAAGGAAAGAAAAGAAAAGAAAATAAAAAATAAAAAAATAAGAGGACTCTCTGAGCCAGCAACTTGGAGGAGCACCTTCCAAGGAGCAGAGGAAAGGCCCGTCTTGTGAAGAGACAAATCATCTGGAAAGGAGGCAGGGCAGTTCAAGCATTTGTAGTCACCCTAGAAATGGAGGGGGTGTGAAAAGTAGGAAGAATTTCTTCCCTTTTGGAGGCAAATACTGTGCCCCACCCCATACACTTAACTCTTGGTAAACGTGGCAAGAATTTGTTCTTGTAGCTGTTCTGAACAAGAAAGAGTGAAAACTAACTTTAGAGTCAATTAGTCTTCCTTGGAAGGGTGGTTTCTTCCAAGACTTTTCTCTCTCCTCAGGTTTGAGTTTTCTTTTTCCTTAGTAAGAGTCCATCTGCTGACACACCTGGGGGAGAGACTGCAACAGAAAGAGAGAAACGAGTAAGGAGACCCGACTCCTAAACCCAAAGTGCACCTTCCGTTCTCGGAGCTCAGGCTCAGGGCGCACACAGGTAACCTCCTTTACCTTGGGGTGTTTCTCCCCTCTTTGGGTAGTTTATTTAGAGCCTTTTAAATAACACATAACCATCAGCATTTTAGAGTTGGAGACGTTTGCTAGTACTGTGCTTACAATTAATTCTACAAGATTCTTCAAACTCTGCTTGTCTGATTTATAAAACTGTGCATTCATAGCTAAGCTCCTTGCAACAGTTGTCACGCGAGCAGAAAAGCAGTTCATTTTCTCGTGGCCCCAAATGCCTCAGTACAGACACTGGAGCTAATTTTTAATTTTTAATTATGGTTCACATAAAATATTATATTAGTTTCAGGTGTACAATAGTGATTAGACATTTATATAATTTACCAAGTAATCACCCCAATAACGGAGCAACTTCCCCCTCCACCCTGCGTTTCCTGAGTGCCCTCCTCACCTCTGCCAAAGCCACAACGCTCAGGGCAAAACCACCTCTTGCATAGTTGTTAGGTTTCTTAGATAGAGATTGCGTGGTTCCTCTCCCGCATCCTCTCTTTCTCCGTTGGCCCCAAACGAGCCAACTAGAGTTGTCCTCCTCTTCCCGAGCAGAAACTCCCGGTCTAGAGAGAGGCTAACCATTTCCGATGCATTGGGCAAAGGTGTCCTGGAGTCCAGGGCTGGCATGAGAAAGGGGAGGAGACAACCACCGGCTTGAACAGTGAAATAAGATAACCTGATGCCCGTTATACCTTTGTAATCCCTTCCGTTAACAGTGCCAATGCGCTGGAGAGGCTGTCTCACCTCCAAAGGTGTCTTCACTCCCGGAGGCCCCAGGCTTCCAGCCACAGCCCAACGGTGGGCCCGCACCCCCAAGAGGAGTTACGCTGATGGCAAAAAATCCCATACATTTTTAACTTACAGTGATTACTAAATTAATAGCAGGCACTAAGACAGATGTCAAAACGTCTTGAAAATGTTTATCTGTGAATAATTGAGAAGGTGGTGGGACGCATTATCTGATTGTGTAATGAAATATGTATGAGGAACAGCTGTTTGCAACAGTCCCCTCCCGCCACCTCCTCAGCCGGGGCACTTCTCTTCCAAACAGGAGTCGCCGCGATGCTGGTCGCCCATGTCCGTCCACTTGGGAGCCCGCCCCGCCCCTCCTGGGCTGCTGGTAGAGCTGAGGCTCCAGCACGCCCCAGAGCCACCCGGTTTCCTGACGGAGGACACCTGCGTGGAGTCGCCCCTCAGTCACGATCTTTTGGTTTAGGGGGCAGCGCGAGGCTTCGCGCCTTCGGGGCGCGCCGGGGAGCCGGCCTGCGAGGCCCAAGGAGAGCCGGAACCCGGAGCCCTGGCGCGCGCCCACGGAGCGGTGCGGCCTGCTCCGAAGAGAAGGCCTGGGGCTCTGCGACTCAGCGGGGTGGGCCTGGGGTCACCGCGGGGTGATCGGGCTCCCGAGCCGGCTTTGTCCGCCGCTCTGGCCGCCCTGGCGCACTTCCTTCCAGCCCCCAGCCGGCCCCCACGCCAGGCCTTCGTGCGGGCCTTGTTTGTTTTTCCACCCCTGCGCCCTCCGCCCAGACACGCAAGCAGCCCTCGGGGCGACGTCAGCGGCTCCAGGCCTCCGGCCCAGGCTGGTACAGGAGCGCTGGCCCCGCAGGAAGCGGAGTGAGCGGGGAAGGAGCTCTGGGGCCCCTTCTGGGATTTGGGAGCAGGGGCCAGCTGGCCGGGGAGGTGGCCTAATCGGGCGCAGGGCCTCGGTGGGCGGTGAAGGCCCAAGTGCTGGCCTTCGAAGGGGACGGGCGGCCTTCGAGGGGCGCCGGCCCCTGCCCCGCAGGAGAGTGGTGGCGCTGTGCAGCTAGAGGAGACACGGTGAGGGGCCCCATCAGGTCTCAGCGTTGTCAGCAGCCTCCGGTCGATCCGGTGACAGGCGTGTGGGCGTGCTGGTCCCTTCACTGCATACCCAGCGCTTCGCATGGCAGTAGAACCGTGTCCTGCAGCTGGACCATGGGCCTCCCCGCGCCCTCCGCCCCTGCGGCCTCCTGGTCCCTCGCCTTCCCGGCGCCTGGAACTCTCCGTCCCGCAGCCTCCGTCCGCGCTGACCCTGTAGGCGCCGCCGCTCCCCACCGCTCCTGGGCCAGCTGCGGAGGAGCTCGGCCAGCGTGGCGCTCGGGCACCGAGCGACTGCACGGCCCCTGCCGGCTGACTCGAAGTCGAGATGTGCTCGGGCGTTATTTCTGGAGCGTTCCCCCTTTTACCTAATCCCTTATGCTTTTATTCTAATCCTACACATTACAGTTAATCTGTAATGATACCGCTTCGGAGGAACCTGTTGCATACGAGGCACGGTAATTTGTAACCTTGGAAACAGTTTTAAATAAAGATTGTAACAGTGATGTCAACTGTGTTTATTCTCCGTGAGGGGGGTGGGTGGGGGCCCGGCAGTCCCTGGGCGGCAAGGACGGAGTGTCGGCAAGAAGGGAGCGAGGCTCCTGGGGCAGAGAGGCACCGGCAGGCGGAGAAGCAGCCCGAGCCTGCCGCAGTCGGTGCGGCCCGCCTCCTGCAGTCTTTGGGGTTTTTTCCTCTGGGAAAACTGGGTGGCAAGAAGAGAGAGGAACGATTTGCAAAAGTCAGGAAAACTTGGTGAACTTGAGCTACTGTGTACTGCGGATTAGCATTCAGCCGGGCTCTGAGTCCCTGGGACGCTGAAGCGCCGCGAGCAGAAAAAGGGCGGCTTGCAGGACCCTTCGGCTGCGCTCCGAGCTTCCTCCGCCGTAAACAAACCCGCCACAGCAGCAACCGCCAGCCACAATTGTGCGTACGCCGCAAGCAAAATTAAACATAATAGCTTTTATTTATCTGCTGCTTTTATATTATTAAAATATTTTTAGTTACATTGTATAAAACATCATCCACTCTGATTATTACCTGCCATATCTGTTGATCTGCTCCTGTGTATTCGGTGCAGCAATATTAACAATCAAGAAAAAACATATCTTATATATTGTATCTGTCAAGATACGTTACAATTTCCATTAACAAAAAAAACACATTATTCTCGTTGAAGACGCTATGAAGCATCTTTCATGAGCACTTTATTAATAATCACAGTTGTCAAAAAGAATTAGATATGCGTAGATTGTAGATGCAAGGAAATATTAGATACACAGAATAAAATATACTGTGGGATTGAGGCATAACTATTTTTTCTTTTTAAAATAAATTTTTACCGAGGTGAAAAAAAAACTGAGCTATTAAGCTTACTTAAAAGATGGCTTTGTTGGTTTAATTATACTGTAGTTATTTTATAAATATGTTTCAAAGGAAGCTTGCCATATTGCATGTCAATGAGGACTCTATAAAGAAAAGCTCACAAAAGCTAATGCATACCAAATAACAAATTTTAGTCATTAGCATTCTTATTTATTACAAACTAAAGGAACCTATTAACAGACAAGATTTTCTATTTAGCTAGCATTACATTGTTTGGCCATTAAAATAAAAAGGGCAAAGTATATACGTATTTTTTTTCTGTTGGAACTATAGTTCTTTCTGTCTAGAAGCTTCTGGGGAGCTTGGGGGATATTTCTGATTGAGCAAACAGATTCTACAGTGGGAATGGGCCGGAGGGCCCAGAACCACTATTTTTAGTTATTCAACTTAATGCCATTTATTGGAAGCAAAAACAGTGCAGAGACTTGGAAGTAGCCACAGTCTGTGAGGGGCCCTTTGTCTTTAATTTGTGCCATGTGCATATGCAAATTATCCATTGTTTTTCCTCTGGGGGAGGGAGTGGGTAGCTTTTGTTTGGATATTAAAATTTCCTTAAATCCTCCCCAGACAAGGTACTTCTCCCAACACAGATTCCCCTAGTAAGAAATCCCTCCGGCAGTAAACACGAGGGTGTTAATTCTAGAAACAGGCACATGTAGATTTGTGTCATTTAAAAACATTTTCCTTTGAGCAAAAGCAGCAATTCTGCTCTCCTATCAGAGTAAATGAATATATAAATATATTTTGCATGCCTATTGGACAAGGAATAAACTTTTAAACAATTCTTACATTTAGAAACTTGAAAGATCTTTTTCTTCTCAAAATCGAGGGAGATTTCCCTTCCCAGCACAGGGTAGGGAAACAAGTAAATATTACAGACACTGAGGTGAAACATTTGGAATTATAAGTAAGGATTATTATGCATTATGGTGGGTGCAAAGGTTTTTTAAAAGTGCCCATCAGGAAAAAGAAATGACAGTTACATGAACTTGTTTAATTCTGCACGTTTACCAACCCACTCAAGTACAGGTTCTTAGTACAGGTTCTTCAGGCCTGCCGGTCAACTCGGACACAGGGCATTCTGCCTGCTCAGGGGACCATTTGCATTAAAAAGATGGAAAATTTCTAAGAAAGGTGCTTCTTTGTAAGATCCGTATCAAAACAACAGGTATTGGAAGGAGGGAATTCCAAACCAGAAAAATATCTGACAAAAGTCATTAACAGATTTTGCAAACCACCCCCCGCACAGAATCTTAGTTTTCAGTAGTAAAAGTCGCTGTGTCGTGTGGGGGTGGTGGTGGTTGGGGGCTAGGTATTCTCTCCCTTATGATTACTCAGGCAGAGCTTAAAGGAGGAAAAGTGTAATGATTCCCACACTGCAAACTTGTCCTACAGGGAAATAATGAAAGTCAGTGTTTAAGAAAGAAGCTCAGGTGCCTCAATGCTGGCAGTTCTAGAAAAAAAATGTAAACTCTATTTTTATTTTATTATATCTGGACGAGGTGTCAACCCCCATTTGATACGGAGGTGGGGTAAATTGCTTTAAAACCTAAGTGTATAAAAAAAAAGGTGTCACTTGTCAGTAAAGGCCAGATCTACATAATTACTTGAATCATTTTGCTGCTCTTACTCACCCTAAGTTAACCAGTCTGATTTTTCTTCCACTGCTCAGAATGCTGATATTATTTGGATATACCACCCACTTGCATCTCCCTCACCTGCATCTTTCCCCTTCAGTGAGTGCTGAATGCTACCAATAGCCATGGAGGAGAAGGCTGTTTCCCTTATATTTAAACCAAAGTGGTTTGGACCTCAGTGTGAGTGGAAGAACACCCTGTTTTGGCTGCCTGTAATCCTGTTTCAAAGAGTGTATTAGAGGAGGGAATCTTGGTGAGGCAAAGTAAGTTAGATGGTTACCCTTTTCTCAGAGGGCTGATACTTGCTTGGGTGAGAAACACAGGTCACGTCAGGACAGCATGGAACAATGATTTTTTTTTATGGGTGTTCTGGCTGGGAGCACTAAGAGGGAAAGATAGGAAAAATCTCAGAAGGCTTCCTGGAAGAGGTAGAATTTGAGCTGAGCCTTGAAAGTTGTGTATGATTTGCGATGGTGAGAAAAAGGACATATTAACAATATTGGCATATAGTTAAGGCATAGTGACAGGTCTGATATAAGGCAGGTGTTTAAAAGTGTTATTTAAATGAATGAACAGAATTACTTAGAAGCATAATAATAAATTCCTTGAAACAGTTCTCCTTAGGATGGCTTGCCTTCTACGTTAACCTGAAGCTCTTCTCTCCCCCTTTGAGGTTGTATCTTTCCCTCATTCAGGCCGGGAGAGCTCATTGTGAGGTTACTGATCGTGTCTAGGGCTGCAGACTGATGCCAACTGGCACCAGGAAAGGAGTGAAGGTTCCCCCTCAGAGGAGACTTCTCCATGGGCAAATGTTCCCTGTATTGATGTCCTGTTTACATTCTTGCAAGAATGAGGGGATTACTGAAATTCTAGGGAATTTTGTATTTTTAACAAACCTTCCTCTTATGGACCAATTTAACGCTTTGTTTGAAACGTCCTGGAATGCAAAATGGTGAAAGGGGGCTTGATAGGTTTTTATATACAGAGCAGAGTCCCCTGCAAATGGCCCCGAATTAGAAACAAGGAAACCTGGTGGGGCTACTAGTTAGTGTGTGGAGAAAGCTGAAAGGAGAAAGCACCCAACCCAGCTTCGTGTTTTCTCATCTGAGAGACACAGCCAGTACTGGCTACCCTTGTCTGTATGAAGACATTTTTGTTTTTGTTCTTTAAAGACAAAACAGTAGGAAGGTAGGTTTTTACATAGCTGTGGCCTCCAGCATTGTAGAATTCTGGTTATATTAATCAATTATGAACAGCTCTTTGTTTTTAATCCCCTGGGAACAGATGCTCATTAGTTACAAATTTTAAGAGCTTTAAGATACAAATTTTAAAATTACAACCACCAGCAAAATAAACAATACTGGTACAAGGGGAAATCTACACCCATACTGTCTTTTCTTCGAAATGCATTTTTATGCATTTGTGGTTCTTTGGGCCTGGGATATGCAACCCACACTAGGATCCAGCAGAGATTTGCTCTTCGAAAGTGCCCTCGCTGAGTGAGGCAGTGCCAGGCTGTGCTGTGCCCCAGGCAGACGTCTCGCATCTCCATCCCCTCTCCCGGATCGCTTCCCCTTGGCCCTCACCTCCACCTCTGTTCCAGAAATCCGGCTTTCTTCTGCTTCTTCTTGTCTTTCCTCCTTCTCCTCCTTCTTCTTCTTAAAACACACACACACACACACACACACACACACACACACACCCCACTGTTTCTTTCTAAACTAAGCATAAAAGTCAACAAGTTGAGGGCAATTCAATTTCAATAATAAACAGATGTCTCTTGAGTTCCAGACACCCCTTCCACGGGAAGCGCCTAATTCAAAAGGAGGAAACGCCAAGGATTATGAGAAACTCTGCCATGAGCCCTCTACCACCCCTTCCTTCTACTGTCCTTCCCCCAGCTCGCCCCTCACCCCCGAGTTCATCCAAGGGTAGTTGGCTTTCCCAAGAGTCTATCTTTCCCTGGTTGTACGGTGTGTTTGGTTCCACCACACACAGACAGGCTAAACATATGTCAGCACAGTGTGAAGAAGGAAGTCTGTCCATTAGCACGTTCAGAAACAGAGTCTGGGATGTAGTACGTTCAATAAAGGGCTTCTTGTTTGGGAGCCTGATACCACAGCATCTCTCTAGTGAAAGCTGAACTGACCTCAATTTGTGTGGGCAATATGCTTGTGTGTGTGGTGCATTTACAAGGCCAGACGAGCTGGAGCTACTCTGCAAGTCTCTTGATGTACAAGAGGAAAAAGGTATTGGATGACCTGTGTGTGTCGAGGAGGAGGAGCCCCGAGAGATTAGAAAATAAAGAGGGGCTGGAATTTTACTTTAATTAGTCTCGCATTTCCCAGGAGAGCTTTTCTGAGAACATGATCTTCTCTCCCGTTTATTTCTGTGCAGCCAAGTTTGGAGACTCACTGCGCCGAGGAAGAAGAAAGGACCATCTCTCCCCAAG